TATAACCGCCCCTTTAAAGAGTTTAGATGATAGCTCTCAACCCTGATCCCTAAACCCTAAACCCTAAAACCCTAAACCCTAAACCCTCAAACCCTAAAACCCTAAACCCCAAAACCTAAAACCTAAAACCCTAAACCCTAAAACCTAAAACCTAAAACCCTAAACCCTAAAGCCCTAAACCCTATATATCCCCGTAAGGACTTGCTTAAACTGTCCCAGGATCCCTGAGCCGACGAACCTCCTCACCGTAGGACACTTTTAAGGTCAGCTTTCCTTCCTCTGCCATTCCTTGGGGGGTTAGGGTTTGGGGTTTAGGGTTTTGGGGTGTAGGGTTTTGGGGTTTTGGGGTTTAGGGTTTTGGGTTTGGGGGTTTAGGATTTTGGGGTTTAGGGTTTTGGGGTTTAGGTTTTTGGGTTTTAGGGGTTCAGGGGCTTGGGATTTTATGGATTTTCGGATTAGGGTCTGGGGCTTGGGGTTCCTCGGCTGACAGCGGGGCCCCTCCTAAGAAGACAAACTTTTGACCTTGCTGATATTGGAAGTAGGAAGCCCATAAAACAAGAAGTTAAACCCAAATTTCCGGGCTGGAGCCAGCCAAGACTCTGGTCGCAAAGTAAGGCGCAGGTCAGTATGGAACTTGATACTTCAAAAGGGCTTGCTGGGACGCAAGGCAACACTGAACAGGAAGCAAAGCCCTGGCAAGACAAAACTACCAATGTCTGCGGCAGGCAGCGCGCCTACGGAAATGCCGATGTCCAGCATGCTGGTCCCCCAAGCCTGACAGCCAGCTACCATACCATTAGAAAGCACTCCTGGATCTTGCCCCAGGCCTTCTCGTCGCTTCCTCCTGGCACCGCTTTGGGCATCCACCTCACTAAGAGATGCGTGGAGCAACGCCTGCAATGATGAGGGTGGGTTGATGAATGCAAGTGACACGCTGGGCCCCTTGCTTGCTGAGATACACGGTGCTCGTAGGGAAGAGAGGCCCCTTCGGCAGTGTGAATGAGCAGGTGAGGGTGCGGTTCAAAAACAAGCCGATGCTAAAACGCTATCGCATGAATACACTGTAAGCAGAATCGTGCGATGTAATCTGCTGCCCTGCTGCCTGTACTGCACCCATCGTGGCCATCACGCACCACAATCCGGACCTGCAAACGCCAGTTGGAGGCATGCTACTACCCAAATGCCGAAGCAGTCAAGGGCCGTTCACGTCAAATTCGCAATCCATTCGAAGGTTGATTGGAAGGCGCAAGCAATAGTCTTTTGAACAACTAATGTAGATCCCTGATTAATAAACTCCTTTAAGGGCCTTAATATTAGGATCCCTATCATAATTCTGCTTAAGGGGAGGGGGCTTGTTAATCCTGGGTCTACATTAGCCACCCACAAATAATTAAGCATCAGCCTGAGAAGGGGTAACGGCAGCCTCATATATAACTGTCGGTAGCTGCACCTGGGGCCACATAGACGAACTAGCCCTGCGACCTAAGAAGCATGAATTCCCAGCCCCACGTTCACTGCCCATGTCATCCCACCTTCATCCCCAAGTCCTAAACCCTAAACCTTAAACCCTAAACTGGGAGCTGCACAAGCCCAGAGTGTCCACACAGAAGGGAATCAACAAGCCTCAGGCTCCAAGGGGCTGGGTTCTGGCACCGTTTTGGTGGGTGCTTTGGGTCTAAGGTTTATACTTATAGAGGTTCAGAAAATTAGTAATTCCTCATTTCTGCGGATATACCCCTAAGAATAGTTGGGCCAACGTCTATAAGTTCAGTGAGGATTCTGAGTAGCGTTATAGCTATACCTAGTCACTAGTCAAAGTCGGGTTCATGATTCAGAGTGCAGGGTTTGGATGGTGGGGCTTGGTTGCTGTGAAATCTTGCGTAGTAACACAGAATGATGAAGGACAAAGAGCCAACGACAAGAGCTAGTCACTCCCCCATCCTGCCAAGAAGTGCTCGGGACCGGCACGCGCTGTTCAAAGGCACACCCCGGTCTCTTCAGAATTCCGTGCCAGAAGCTTGCTGGGTTTTCGTAGTACTGCAGGAGCCCTCAACAAAGGCATTTCTTTTAAGACCCCTTTTATGAGCCGCAAATAGGGGCCTCCATAAGCACTCCCTTTGTACTGATAGGGCTTCTTGGGGTCCCCGACGTAGACACCTCCACATGGTGGCAGGTGAATGCCGGCATAGGTGCAAGATACAACGAGCTTGCAGACCGCATGCATGCAGTTTGGGTTTAGGGTTCTTAAGCTCAGCTCTCCTGCGTTCAAGTTATACGGGTCTATGTAGGGCTTACATAGGAATCAAGTAGAGGTTACAAGAATGTATTTATATGGATAATATGCTACTCCTGCCAAGCCCTCATCTTGCATGCATTCAGTGAGCATGATGAGCCTATGGACTTCCAGGAGGCTAATTACACCCCCTCTAAGGAATTCTGCTGATGCTAGAGCTTTTACCATGATTCTGTTGAGGGCGCAAAGGTTCTGGTGGGTGGATGGTAGCCGTCCTTACAAGGAGCCCCTACATGGCAACTTTGTGTCAATACGTGTATGTATCAGCGTTATGTGCACCAAGCGCAGCACAACACAGGGCGCTTAGCGACATAGCCATTGTCATCACCTGTGCAGTGGTTAAGCTGCTTTGATGAGGAGGCCCAAACCCAATAGTAGCTTCCATTTTATTTTCCACTAATATAACATAGGGAATAATGGAAAATCTATAGTATAATAGGGTTATAGGGCATGTTGCGGTAGTTTCCAACAAGTGGTCAGGCCCAATATAATTATGGGTTATCTCAAACCTTCACAGTCTTCTTATCGAGGACCCCCAAGGACACTCCCATGTAGCTGAAAAAAGAAAACCTTGATGCTAGGAAGCATCACCTGCACTACACATGCGAGCGCCGGAGCGTGTGTCATTCTAGTACCAGTGGCTGGAACACCAGTCAGAGCTCTTCGAGCACCCGGCATTCTTGGCACCAAGCCAATCAGCTAAAACGCCGCCCGGCACCTGCACACTGCCATGCTTCAGGGTTTAGGGTTCAGGGCTTAGGGTTTACCCTAAACCCTAAACCCGGAAGGCGAGAATTTGTAAGAAATGCAGTGGAAACCGTAGGCTGACAGACAGGCATCCTGACTTGTGCGGTGTCCAAAGTTGAGGGACGCCAAGAAAGGCTACACTCTAATTGCTCTCACAAGGGAAAACTCCTCCCAACCCGGTTTGGTTGTTAGTAGCGAATAAGGGAATATGATCCATGCACATTTTATTTCCTGATTCCCTACGATTGTCTGCAGCTGCCAAGCACGCGGCAGGCAGCCTGAGTAAAGAAGTAGCCTGCGGCAATGGCCGACAACCTGCAGTGGCGCCAAGTCATCCTTGCTGCAGCATGAAAGTGCAGTAATCTGGGCTGCTGTTAAAGAACTTAATTTGAGCTACCATCTTCCGGGCACTAAGAAAATAATAGGGTTTCCTTTTTATAGTACATAGCTTCATAGAGGTTCCTTGACAGCAACCCAGTACTTTGCTGCACTTTCTCTGCAATGTTTGTAGGTTATGGCATATGCCAGCTACACATACGCGCACACGAATGCAGAAGTGCTATGGCCCGTTATGGCAAGACCCCCTCACAGCCTAATAGTGAAACTTCCGGCACCCCACTAATAGATGCTCGCAGCATGGCAGCATAATCTTGCGGCAGTAATATTCATTGTTACTGTGTGGAACTAATATTTGGGGATGGCAAAATGGTTGCAGCCTCAGGTCGCCGCAAGTTACCCTTCTGAGCTGTGCTGATGTCCAGCTCCGCAGCCATGAACACAAGCAGTGGGGACAATGCATTGCCTCATTACAAATTCAGTCCCCGTTTAAGGAGTCACAACCATATCCAGTAATGAGAGGTGTAGAATCACTGTAGAACTTTGGGGCTTATAAGGCTCAGTAGGGGGGAGGCCTACTTCGGGGAACACCCATCGTCTTATAACTTACAACGCCCATTGCAGTGCCAGCACACATCTTCTACTATGACCACCGTTCGCACTCATATGACGAATTACGGTTCTCAACTTCTCATGGCTCCAAGGTCTTCCGTCTTGCTATTCTGCCTGCCGTCCTTCTTCAGTGATATAGTCGCCCTTAAGTAGATAGAATATGGGGTATATAGGGATCTTGTTAAAATATACCCAAAGCCATATTCGATCTACTTAAGGGGTACCCTAAACCCTAAGCCCTAAATAGTAGTTTCCATTTTCTTTTCCATTATCCCTATATAAACCCAATAATATACCTATCTACTTAAGGGGGACTATAACTGCAAGAACACTCACGTGGGAAGCCAAGGCGTGCGCGCATGGATTGCTGCACTAGGCGGGATCCCAACCTGAGGGAGCCCGGGAGTATTAGTACACCTTATTACTACTATTACAACAACTACTATTACTGTTCATACTATTACTGAAGTACACCTTATTACTATTACTGTTTATATTATGATGATGAGTATTATACTAGTATTATTACTCATATTACTACTATTAATATGACTACTATTATTGTTACAACTATTATAGCAATAACAAATTCACTGTGCTACAGTCATACTGGTGGTGAGAATTCATGATGGCAGGAAAAGCACTTCCCGTGACGGTAATACTGCAATGACAACTTGAGCAAGATTACAGTTGATCCCTTCACCTAATAACACCCCCTCACCCCAAGGTCACTAATACTTTTTTGCTGCTGGACTTGTTCAGGTCACTAATACTTAGTCCAGTATTCTGGGCGGTTCATTGTGAGGAGGGAGCAGATCAATTTCAGCACCACCCCATCTTTCCCTATATATCCCTATATAACCCCAGATATTGCTATACACTTCGCCACATAAATCTGCATATTCCTATAGCCTCATATAACACCGTACAACTCTATATAACCCTATACACCCCTGCATCCTAAACCCTAAATCCTGAAACCTAAACCCTTTTGCAAGAGGCTTCTCGCACCGCCCCACTCCTGGCTTCAGCTGCAACGCAGCTACCTAACCTAAACCCTAAACCCCAAACCGTAAACCCTATGTAACCCGTTATAGTAGTTTCCATGTTCTTTTCCATTATCCCATTGTAGCCATTATTATAATTACATTATTACTATAATTACTACTAAGCCCTAAAACACCCTAAGCCAGGAACCCTAAGCCAGGAACCCTAAGCCCTAAACCCTAAACCTCTAAAACCTAAACCCTAAATCCCTAAACACCAAACCCCTAAATCCCTAAACCCTAAGACCCAAACCGGCCACCGCATTGGCAAGTTAGAAGGAGAGGCCCCCACAGCAGGATCCCCTGCACCGTACGGGTCGAGACCTGAAGGAACATCGTTTGACAGGCTCCCTTCAAAGGTGGTTTGGGGTTTAGGGTTTGGGGGTTTAGGGTTTATAGAGTTTAGGGGTTTAGGTTTTATAGAGTTTAGGGGTTCAGGGGTGTAGGGTTTAGGGGTTTAGGGTTTAGGGATTACAGGGGCTACATAGGTCTTGGGGCTTATAAAGAGTCATGTAAAGTTTAGGGTAATATAGGTGATTGTACACATTGGGTGTCCAATTGGGGGCCATAGGCAACAACCATGAGACATTTGGGATTTCCAGGCTCAGCATCTCTTGGCACACGTCCCCGCAATAACGTTTCGAAAAAGACCTCTCCGGAAGTTGAACAGGGACACCATTTTCAAATGTGGCCCTTTGGCTTCGTGTACCTCTGGATATGAGCTTTTGCAAAAGGTGGCCAGGAGGTGGCCTAGTGTAGGACCCTTTAGCTAATTCTTGATAACCTTTGGACCTGTTTTCAAGCTACCCAAGTAGATGTCAGCTAGAACCACCGCACGCACTATGGCCTGAAATGGAACAAACTCAAGCTGAGACAGACTCAAAATACCCAAGGCTACTCAGAAATCTGGAAAATGTTTTGCAGCGGGGGGCAGGCCGAATCGTCAGGCTTTATGTGCAGTATGCTTTGCAGACGCAAGGCGCGTAGCGTAGCATACTATGGATGGAGTATAGACTGCTATCAAGTTACTATGCAATCCCAATCTCCCTTTCGGTGGGGATTTCGGGCCTGCACTTTGGAGTGGGTGCCTCGCTTGTTAGACCCACTCCCCCCAAGTAATGTGAAACCCCAAGGGGGGACTTTAAAAAGCCACTACAACTGGCCTCGCGAAGGGGTGCATATAGGGTTCCATGTTCGAGGGGGAATTCTGTCAAACTTCTGTCTTGAGGCATCCATGAGGTTCCCGGTTCCCGTTAAGTGTCGCTCGCCACACCACGTCCCAAATCCGCCTGAATCTAAATTTCGTCAGGCCCCTCAATTTCCAGCGAAACACCGTTCTCTTAACCCACAAGCACCCTGGCCCGCTCAACCCTTTTGGCAGGCCTTCTGCCGTTCTCGCCGCTAGCCCCCAGAAATTCACCATGAATCGCCAAGCCCGAAGATCCAAGGTTCTGACAATCCGATCCAGCCAGCTGTCAGCACGGGGAAGCTCCTGGACTCTGGGATGCCATTTAATCAATTGTGGGCTCCATGTGTGAGTACCAAGGAGATGTGTAAGTTTCTTTGAGCCCGAAGTATGTGCTTCTTGGAGACCGCTTGTGGTTCAAGGCCCGCAGCATGAGCAGGGGAGAGGCTGACTAGAAGAGGGAGTCCGGCGCTCTCAGAGATCGCATCTGGTCGTATGCATGGCCTTCGTATACGAAATTGTAGAAATCAGGATCTGCGTGAACAGGGCGAAGTGGGAATTTGATGCGTGCGGTCTGGAGTGCCAGGGGAGGATGCAGCCTTGACCAAAGTAAGCCCCGAGCCCGAAAGCCTAAGTAGTGTGGCCCTGCCCCCTGTCTGCAGCCTTGAGCAATGATAATGGGAGCTCCAAACGGAACTGGACAAGTTGGCCGGGAAGGCGATTTGGAGAACTGGCTGTCCATAAAACTCTGATAAGCGCATGCAAAGTTGGATTTCAATGAGAAGGACACCGATTGACACCCTTCACGCAAAATTGTCGGCCAGAGGGTTGAAGATACACTTCAGAAGTTTCTTAAGGTTTTCGAAGCGCATGTTCCATGGGCAGAGGCTTGTGATAGTGACTGACTACCCCCCCTATACTACACCCCCCCGGACCATCTCTAAACAACCTTCATGAAGAGACGGACCTAGGGGATGTAGTGTAAAGGGGAACCCCTAAATCCTAAACCCTAAACCCATGAGTTTGGAGCACCAGGATCACTGCCCTTGAGCTCAACAGTGTTCAGACCCTGCGCAAGACTTGCACCATATAGGCTCTCGCCTAGACTCCTCAGGGGACTACTATAAGGGGGTATTCAGGAGATACTATGATAGGAGTTCAGACTATAGCTCATACACTCCCCTCCACCCATGTCATATGAAAACCTGCCACTCACGTAGTATCGAGTATTCTCCATGCAGTATACCATAATAATTTGGGAAGATTCAATATTAGGGGGGGGAGCCTTTTAATACGGTGGGAAGGCATTTTCTGGGTCGCTGTTTAGGAACTTAAAATCAGTTACCATAACAGGGGCAGTTAGTAAATGATAGGGTCCCTAAATCATGGTAACCCAGTTATTCATCCCCAAGCATAGCAGGGCGGGTCCTTCACATCGCCACGTGACGTGTTGGTTGCAGCTGCTGGCCTGAGCCAAAGAAACGTAACCGTTTCGGAAAGGAACACGGTTTAGGATCTAGGGCTTGGGCTTTGGGGCTAACGGGAGATAATACCAGGAAGAGAAACAAGACGCAGAAAAGACGCATTGCACTGAGTATAGCGACATCGGGATCAGCATTGATCAGGGGACAAACACCCTTTACATTATAATCCCATCCCCAAACCCACCGAAAACAGAACGGTTCGAGAGCCCGCGCGCATGTCCCATCCAGCCTCGCAGATGGCGCTCGAGCTGCTGGCGATGATGCGCGATTCCTGACGGTGTGTGCCGCCGCAGCCTGCCAGCAAAGAATGCACCTCATGTAGGGCCTAAAACCTGTTGTGCCGTAGCTATTTCAAAGTTATGGAGGAGAATATTCGCAATGGCCTTTGAACATTAATTGGGCATCCCACCTCGAATATGGAGGGATAATGTTCCATATGGGAAAGGCCTTTACATCAGTTGTTCATCCCACCTGGTGGATAGCGTGCAGGATGTGGCTTTGCAAACTGCTCTGGCTCATGAGGAAACAAACCCTAAACTAGGACACCTCCATCTGCCTCTCCAGCCCCCACCACAAATTGTGATTAGCTGTGACTTACTAGACGTGCTTACACTAGCCCTCAAAGCCCTAAAACATTAGGAACAAGACTAGACTCTGACGCAGTCCAGATTGGGATTGTGACAGGAAACCACAAGGAGAAACAACAGCAATAGATGAGGGAGCTTCAGAAAGTAGACTCCTGAGAGTCAAAGCCGTCCGAAGGCATGAACAAGACCCTTGTATAGAGAGTATGTGGGGACATATTACCCCAATAATGGAGAGTCAAGTGGAAAAGAACATGCAACATGGCCATGGAAACTGGGAACATAAACCCGATTCAATTCAGCTCTCTGACCGAAAATCAGAAATTGGGAAACTAAACACCCAACATCTTTGCTTATACAACTGTACGGAGACTACTCACATCAAGACTGCGGCGCCTCAGGCTTGGGCGCCATCGGATGTGCTATATGATCTGGGCAGTTTCCGGACCTACAAATCCTACAAATCCTTTCTGGGAGTCCGTGTCCCTAAACCCTAAACTATTCGTTGAGGCTTGTCTTCTTTTAAGGGATCCGGAAGCTTGAAGCGACAAGGAAACGTTGAAATGCTTGGGGCTGCTTCCCATGAAGTTGGCTAACTGTTTGCTTAAGAACCACCCACAGAAGAAAAAATCTTCTTCCTGATAAGGGAGATATCGTGATTATTATCTTTTCTATTTTTAAGGAGTTCTTAAGCAAATAGTAGTTGG